TGATTTGCGGTTGGCGGCCGCAGTCTTGTTCAATATAACATGCAGCAGTTGGGCGCGCGGAGTATCGCAGGAGGAAATGGTCATGAACGGCTTGTGAATGGTCATGGGTGCGGAAAAATGACAGGGAAGAGCGGCAAGGCAGAGGGTCACAAATGTGTGTGCCTCTTCATTCAAGTGAGGGGACAACTTTTTCGCTTCCCCGCAACCATAGCATGAAGTCTGGGGAAATCCCCGAACGGGAAGTCTCGATATAACCGGCGAAGAAAAGTAGAGAACGATGAACGAAACATTTGTTCGGAGACACCCGGGATAGCGGAAAGAGACGGCAGATGTTGATACCGATGCTGTGATGGTAAGAAGACAACGGTCCACCGTGAGATCGGTCGAGAACATGGAAAGCTTGTCCCGCTTCCGATCGAGGAAAATGTCCGACGGAGACAGCCGGATGGGCCGTAATCCGGTGTCACTGTCCGGAAACCGGGTGTCAAGACTGGGGATGCTCGGTGGGTGATGAATTCCGCCCTGCTGATAGAGGAGTCCACAGACAATCCACTGGTGCAGTGGTGAGAGTTCCATCCACTGTGTGTCGTCGGTACTGGAAAAGAACAGGAGACACTAGCCGGACAAGGCTGTGAGTTGGCAGGGTGTTGTTGCAAGACCCCGCAATGCTAATCAGCCCTGTCGATATTGATCTGCCCCTTTACGAGCGTCGGTGTCGAGACATGTCGGGTATCTGCTGCTTGTCAGTTCTTTGCAACAAATCTGGGGACTCGAAATACTGAAATCCGGAGTCTCAGAATTGAACACAAGAACAATGGTCTGTTGCTTCCTTTTCCAAGGTAATACAACATGGTGGTTTGCTGACTGGTAGAGGAATACGTACTGCAATGCTGTAAGTATATCTCAGCCTCATCGGACCGACTGTGGGTTCGAGAGGGTCTCTGAGACAGAGGGGGTCCAATTGGTCCCTGGACTACTGAGTTCTCCGCATTCTCACGCAGCCACACTCACCATTTCGAGAACTTGAACACCAACACGACCTCAACCGTGATAGCCCTTGGCTCTGTGACCGGTGCTTGGCGCCTAGTTCCGTGTCTGTCACGCCTGATTCTCGTGCAAATGCTTTGGGAGATGACGGCCTTTCCGTGTCCCGAATGTCGGCAGGCCTCTCCGTTCGCTGGGTACGGTCTAGTCTAGGGGAGTTCACCAATGTCTGCGCTAGTGTAGCCTCTGAGTGTCAGTCTAACGAAACGGCGCTGACGGAAAGCTTGTCAAGCTTGACCATCGTCGCACCATTGTGCACTACTGCCAGAAAATCTCCAAGAACCGGAGAAGGAAGTGGTGGTGCGTTGGCTGCCTGGGAATTGGGGGTGGTGATTACTGACCACTACGTGCTGTGTGCTGTGGTACTTTTACATATGAATTCCATGGCTTGCCCTATCCGTGGGACGGGTCAGGGCAAATGAAACACTGTCCCTCTTTTTGATGGCGGGTGTCCAACGTGAAGGCTCCCGCCACGGAAAGGCTCGCTCGCCCAACACGACCTGTAACAGCAAGGGGGAACTCTACCCATAACTGATTGCGCAACACTTTGCACACGAGGGTTGGGTTTTAGATGTCTTGCAATTTGGCATCTCTGTAGGCGACACGAAACCAGACAGAGCTAGGCTGGAAAGGTGCGGATAGCGTCATTCTGGCGTCGCATCTCACAGCGGCCATACCTGAGCGAGTAAAGCCAGGGGGTTATATTGGAGAGATGATCTGGGTGATGTGCCAGCTGAGAAAAGCTTGGCCGGCTTCTCTGAGATGAGAGAAAAAGGACAGCGAAAATCGGATGAGCGGAAGGGAAATGGAAGGGACGACATCGCAACGGCGCACCATCTGACACAATGGAAGTGACAGTGACTGGGCAATGAAGGCGGTGACGAGAGTAACGTGCCTTGCCCGGTTTCATCGAATTGCTGACTTGGGAAAGAAATGAAATCCGGGGTAATATCTGTGCCATGCCTTGATCATTGGAGAGAAGGCGAAGGCAAAGGGTATTAATAAGATGAACATGTGATTGTGACAACAACGTGACTTTGATATAACGACGGGGCTGTTAAGTGCAAGGAATTCCTTTGCGTGGATGGAGTGGTCAGAAACACCCAGTTAGTTAATTGCAAAGAAAAAACGTGACCTGGAGAGAGTCTGAGAGTGGAAGGAAGGTTGAAAGAGACGGACGCAGCCGAGAATAAAGTGGAGATTTGAGAACTGTGGGGATTCGCAGCCATTCTTCGTCCTCATTGGCTGATTTGTTGGTTCTTTCCCAAAATGCACACTTCGACAACCATCAATGCAGTCCTGAACAGAGTCCGTGGCGGCCTGTGTGGCTCCGTGCTCTTGCACCGATTCCACACCTTGATCCCACCTTGGCTGGCATCATCAGCAAGATCAGCTAAGAGCTAGACAGGCCTCTTTTCCACTTCTCACTTGCACATCAACTTACGATGGCGTGAATCCGTGGATCAAGAGATAAAACCTTCGGCACGACAGTATCCGACTATTATGCCCGCAATCGGAAAAAAAGAAGTCATTCGGTAAATGGTACCCGTTTTGATGGCTGGGATGCCTTGAGATGTGAGAGCCGTGTTGAGCCGTGCACTGGTCAAGTTCAGGGAATCTGCCAAATTACGTGGACAATAGTGGACTCGGACTCGTCTAATGTATTGGCGCCGTCCTTGCGATCAAGATATACGATATCAAATCGACCAAGATGCTGTGGCTTCTTATTCAAATAACAATCCGTGAAAAGCATTTGTTGTTGTGAGCTGAAACCAACAGTCTGCATGTTGAATAGCGAGACACTGGCTTTGATATAAGGGGTTCTGTGTGTGAGGAAGATCAAGCGTATCACCATCCCTTTTTTCCTCCAAACACAAGGATGGAGAGCCACGCTAGAAGACGGGTTCCTGAATCACCTTTACCACGGCAGTTCTTTGTGTATGTGTTCTCATCATCAAATCAACCATTGTCTGGCGAGCACGGCAAGATAGGCGGCAATGCACCGTGGCACAATGCATCACTCACAAAGCTTTCTGCTACAGCACCCGGTCTCACAGAGAAGCCAACTGCCGTGGTCGTGGCATGAACAAACATGAGGCTCTTCAGTTTGGCGTTGGCATACCAACTAGAGTGTCCCTTGTAGAGACGAGAAAATGACGGGTTAATCTCAACGAGTTTCCAAGTCTCGGAATTCTTGGGGATGTTCATCCAGGCTGAATGCCGAGGAAACTCCAAAGGCCTCACGATCGTTGAGGGGACACGACAACTCCGTTTTGCATGAATACCCAGCCGGTGCTGGCAGTTTGATGATGGGCATCAATATGAATGATGCCCCTTTTGGAAAATCCGAAGAAGTGAGGTCAACTCCAACACACATCCATTGGCTGCACAGTGTTATGAAATGGAAATGGGCTGTGCGATGCAAAAGAAACGTTCAAGTGCATACAAGTTGTGCAAAGAGCAAAGTTAGCCCACCAAACAAGGGCCTTTAACCCATCATTCATCTCCCGACGCTGAGACCCACATGGGCGGTGTTCCACAGTGTTCCTGCCAATCCTACGTGTAGATGCCTCAGCCTGCCTCTGGGCTCTGACTGCCGTTTAGCGAGCGAGGAAGGTACAAGGTACACTTAAAGCACTGTACACACTGCGACTGCACACCACTGCAGGCCACAGAGGTACCTGCTCACGCTGCCCCTGCTGCAACGGAACCAAGAAACCTCAAGTCCCTGACGGAGCCACGAAGGAGCCCACCCACGGCAGCCGTCCAAGATGCCTGGTCCCGGCTTTCGCAGTCTCTCATTCATCCACTCGACGAGCCACTCTTCGCTTCTCTTTTCTCGCCTTCATGTCCACTTGCTCCCCTTTGCGCTGATCTCCCTTTTGCCCTCTCCACCAGTCCACCTACCGCGCCTCAGCTTTCTTCAGTCCAGACTCCAGAGGGGAAAAAACAGAGTTTTATCTCTGTTCACCGCACTCGAGACCCGTGCTTTGCGACACAAGAAACCAAAGACGCGCGCGAGTCATTGCAATCCAGCTTCTTGGAGAAACATTCTTTCTCTTCGCGACATCATTACATATCGTCTATTGTTTCCTAAAGCCCGTGCGTTTATTGCTCTGGAAGCCAAGGAAGCAAGGAAGGAAGCAGCACCAGCACCAGCAGAACAAAGAAAAAGAGCAGCAAGGAAACAAGACGAGCGAAACGAACCACTGTTATTCAATCACCTCACCCGAACAAGTCCCGTGCTTACCGCCCAAACCCAAAGCACACGCCCACTGAACACGCACCAAAAGCATCCAATACCCTGAGGCATCCAGCTAGCCCGCCCCAAAACCAAAAAAACGACACCCAGACACGCCAACTCCCAAAACCGACCCAACCGTCCCAACTTACCATCCTCCCGGCACCCTCCACACAAACCTCGTGCGACGGGCCGATTCAACCCCAGACTGCATGCGATTGACTCTGGAGAGTCTCCACGATCCCGCCTAACTGCCCCAGATCATCTACAACCTTATTGCCTCTTTTCTCAAATAGGGCCGCATATGTCGGCGCTGGCTTAGAAGAAACGACTGGAACAAGCCTTGTCGTCGTGGATTTCGCACGCATTTCGCACGACGCATCCAGTCTAGCCTTCGTCGCGAGCTTGTTCTCCACGGTGCCCACGCTACTCACTGTACGCGCAGAACATTCCACGGCATCGGATCCGATCGAAACGAACCGCGATATACATCCCTACGATACACTACACTTTCGTCCGAACGCACACCGTGCCGTCCCTCGCAGTTCGTCCCATCTTTGCACATTGGAAGGGTCCACCGGTGCCACCAGGGCCGCTGCCACGGACACCGCACGACCGCTACCCAAGCATAGTCCGTCCATCTGCGTACCTTGCACCGACTAGTAACACGACGACGAGAAGGGCTGGTGACAGCTCCCCTGTATATTAAACCGCCATGTCTACCGCCGTCAAACGCGCCTGCGATGCCTGTCATCGTCGCAAGGTCAAGTGTGATGGCATCAACCCGTGTCGCAATTGCCACGCCTCCCAGTTGACGTGCACCTACAATGCCATCCCCCAGAAGAAGGGCCCCAAGGGCTCGCGCGCAAAGGTCATCAGCGAACTGCGCGAAACACAAATCCCCCAGAAGAAGGGCCCCAAGGGCTCGCGCGCAAAGGTCATCAGCGAAGACAAACGAGCCTATCCGCCAAGGTCCAGAACCGCCTGAATGGCATCAACAGCCCGCCTTCGAGTCCCAACCTGGCCCCGAGCCCCGGCCTCCTCACGAACGATATGGTCAAGGAATGCATCGAGTTCTTCTTCACCAATATGTACACAATGATGCCCATCCTAAACCGCCAGCGACTCGAGCAGCAGGCGCTATACGTTGACCAGAGCCTCGATACATACTGCGTGCTTACGGCTTTGTGCGCCTTCATGTTCCTGCAGCCCGGCATGCCCATGCCCGGTGGTGATCCCTACAGCTTCGATAATATGCCTGGAAGCCAACATATTTCGAGCACGCTACTGCTGGAGGAGACGCTTCGCGTGCGCAAGGCTTTCGAATACTCCGACAACCCGAGCCTCAACACTCTGGTCACCAGCTATTTCCTTTTTGCGTGCTTCCACGGCCTCGACATGCACGAAAAGGCCTGGTTCCATTTGCGCGAGGCCACAACAATGGCGCACATTTCTGGCATGAACAAGGAGGACACGTACTCGCAAACGCAGTACGACATTATCGAGTCGTCTCGCCGCAGACGGTTGTACTGGCTTCTTTTTGCCACGGAGAGGTATGTCTTACCCCACGCTATTTGTCCCACGTTGCGTCAAGCTAATCGTAATGACCGTTTTCAGAGCCTATGCCCTCCAACGACGTCGACCCTTGACCCTTGAGGCGACCATCAACCGGCCCACAATCAACGATGACAACACCGAACTGCTGCCCCATCAGCTTAACGGTTTCTTCCAGAAGGTCAACCTCTTCCGCGCTTTCGACAACTCCCTTCTCCCTCTTTGGAACAAGACGAGAGACGAGTGCGCAAGCTACTTCAGTGGGCTACAAAAGAGCTTCGATGACGTCCTGCCGCCGTTTCTTCGCGATGAGGACACCCAGCTCAATGAGATGCAAATGAACCAACAATGGATCAAGAACACGTCGTGGCAGTTGACAGTGGCGAGCGGAAACAGCAACGAGGCCGGCCTCCCTTACCCATATCCGGTCGATATTGCGAACGACTTGCTTCCCATGGTTGCCAACTTCCCCGGTAACCTCGGTCTTCCTGGCTTGACCTTGATCGAGAAGCTTCTCGGCATCACCGGCACCCTCACCGACGTGCTCTCCAACCAGCCATCGAGGCGCATGCCTTTCAAGGTGGGGCCGCGTGAGCAGCTTCATCAGGTGTTGAACGTTCTTTCGGTGCTTCGCTCTGGTGATCACCGATTCCTGCCGCTCCTCCTCGGCAAGATTCACGACTTCATCCCTACGCTGGCGAACCCGATGCTCCAGTTTGCGCCCGAGCAGCCCAACTTTGGCCTGCCTCCTTGCAACATCGATATCTTTGATGGATTCGGCAACGCTGGCATGGGCCAACCTGCTTGCTTTGACTACGACGACAACAAGTTCGGCCTCCCTCGCATGGATGAGTTGAGCAATGATTCCGGAAGTCCCAACGGAGGACACTCCAACAACGACATGAGTTCGCCATATGGAAACTCTCCTTCCATCATGTCTCCAACCGGTCAGATGGACATGCACCACGGCCTCCCTGCCGATTTCACCACAATGCCTGAGATGGTGATGAGCCCAATAAGCCACGGGCCACCAACATCACTAGGGACGCCCAATGGCATGACTGGTCAGCAGTCGCAGCATGGCCATCACCCATCGATACCCGCCTTTGCCAATATTAACCAAATGCAAGGGATAAACACGGGGAATATTACTTCCGCACCAAACCTATCCATGCCACAGCAAATGCACATAGGCCAGGGGATCAATCCTGGGATAAATGGCGCTACGAATAATGGCATAGGGAACGGGATGAACAACGGGATAAACAACAACGGCATGAGTAATACCATGAACAATCCTATGGATCCCCAAGCCATGAACATGGGCAGGCCACCACCTCCCCAACGAGCAACATCTTTCGCTATGGGACCGGGACATGGCCAACCAGGAGGGCCACAGCAACTACGAACCGTGGGGGACTTCCAAGCACTGCAACGAGCGAACACGGATATGCCAATGGGTGGGACCATGAATTCGCTAGGGATAAATACCCACTCGATGGGCGGGAACCCGATGGACTACAACTCGTTACAGCAGCAGCAGCTTGGACAAGTCCAGCATAGGTAGTAACGCTGGAACTGGGAAAGGCCGGGGAGGCATGGATTTTCTATCTACTCTACTCTACTGTCTAATTTTCTGCAAAATCAAGCAACGCCTGGCTGGTTCAGTCTTATTATCCTTTGTTCTTGTTTATATTTCTGACCGCACACACACGGCGCTCGGGAACATGGCTACACAACGGTAGTTCGTCTATTCACGCCTGCGGCTGCTTATTTCTTATGTTGTATCTACTGAAGGCGTTCATTCAACAGACGGCGTTTGGGTATGGCTTTCTTGCAGACAAACGCATTTGCAATCTGTTTCTCCTGTTGTATTGTATGTTGGAAGGAATTATGATGGGCGGTTTAATGGTGTGGGCTTTCAAACACCCTGTTTTTGGATTTCCGGGGTGTAAAAAGGCGAAATCAGCAAGCGGGAAGCAAACACCAAAGCGAAAATACGTCTGCACATTGGAACGCATGGACTTGTTGCTGGATGGATTGATGGATGGGAATTATGGATTGTATGAAGTAGTTGACTGTGCTTAAAGAAAGGGAAAAGGGAGTGCTTGCTTGCTTGGAATCTGTTGTTTTTGGTTTCGGTTTCTTGGATACTACCTACACTGTTCTATAGGAATGGGTTGAATAAGATTCGATCACCTACACTGATTACATTTTCCATCCGGTCCCCGACGGCTTCTCGCTTTGGTTATATACGGCATACATTGTGTGTCTTGACAACGTTGCGATTTACTTACTCAGAACAGACAGCCATGTCCAAATCTGCAGTTCTAGCTTGGACGACACAGTAAGAGACTACACGCATGCAACCCGCCGTTGGAAGTTGTGCTAACTTGGATAGTTTCTGCAGAGGCAACGGTCGTTCTCGTTCTCGTGCCCCTTGAAGGTGAACACCCCACTTCCGAATGCTCACTCATACACCAACCGGCAACTGCCATTGACTTTCGGGAATCCGGAGCACAGAACAACGCTCGCAACGAAGAGAGGTACAAACGTACACAGCCTTGCGAACTTAGTTACGCTGCTGCCGTCCTCCTATGAGCAACCAGCGACATCTAGCCACTCGGAGACCGGGTCGCATCCTTCGGTCTTCTCACGCAAGGAATGTGCCCAAGAGTGGTACTCGCCAAAGTTCGAATCGCTTGTCTGAAGAACAGGCAGGACCTGGCGCCAAGAATTTACCTCTAGAGGCGCCGTTTGCCCAGAGAAACTCGGTTCTCAGTATCCTGAAACAGAAGCGGAAACGGATATTACCCCCCATCCTTTTGTTAGACCTCAGCTAGGAGGCCGGGGGATTTGAATCTGGTCAGGGTAAACTGCAGGCAACTAACGAGCAGCCAACAACAAGATGCTCGGTTTAAGGAGAACGGCGAAGCCGAAACATGTATTCTGCGAATATTCGGCAAGTTAGGTAGAGAACCGGAAGGGGAAGAATGAGAGATCCCAAAGCAAGCGGATTCGAGTGTTACTTGGTTTTGGCAAGTAAATCAGTCGCTTGTGGATAAAGCCTTGATCATTCCATTTTAACGTGCCCGTGGAGAACCGTAGGCATTGCTGACTGGGTTTGATCCAGCAACCCGTACGCAGTGGTACGAATGTTGACTAGATTCGTTTAGTTCGTCTGAGACACTGGAGAAGAGAAAGGGGAAGGAAGGGATGGGGGATGGGAATGGGAAGGAAGTTGAACATTCACTGGCTGACATATTCCCGAGTGGCTTGCTTGCTGACAACAGTCTTTTTGTCCTTCCTCAGCTGAGGGAGTGAGGAGTTACGATGTGAGGAGGAAGCTGACGATGAATGGATTGATCTGGACAAGCCTATCCCGGCCGTCCTACCCCTTTGAACGGTGTATTGATTGAGATTCGTCTGCTGCAGGGTGTTATCAGGGGAGCGAAGACGTTGGATTCGGGCAACAAATAGCGAATATAATCCGCAAAAAAAAGATGGAGGGAATGAGGTTAGGCTTATTTACGCCAGACGTTTGATAATACCACCCATCTATTATGATGCGTACATTCATCGTACAGGGTGGGTGATGAAGAAATCCGAATGGCCAGGTTGCCCATTCTGATCTGTTGAGCAACGCTAGTGACGTGACAACAATCGGTCGAGGGTAATAAATGTCGTGAGGGTTGGTAGAAATAAGTGTCATCAATGAGAGTGAAGGTCGTACCAAAGAGAATGATAAGTGAGAGGATAATGGAACCCGAGAGGTCGAGTTTCGGTGCCCTTTTGATGTTTAATATCTGGTGCTGACGAAGCCTCAAGGGCGTTGAAGGCATTGTGCATCTGGTGTTTTAGGTCATGTTGTTCCATCTTCCAAGTCACAACATTCTAACATTCTATCTTCCATGCTTCCAGCATGCAGAGGTATGCACTACTGCTGCTGCTGCTGCGCATGCCAAGCTAAGTACCAAGAGAATAGTGATCGGGTTAGTCATCGCATGACAGAGGCCTTATCTTGTCCTCGTGGGAAAGACTGCAGACAGATGGACAGATAGATACTACTGGATGTGCAGATGTGCATATGTAACAATGGCGTTACCGACCAGCTGCCATCCGTCAAGTGTCAGTTTTAACCATCAGCTGCCCTTCATCGCAGTCGGTCTGCCAGGTCTGCATGCACTCGGCCTTGGAACTTGGAATTGACAGTTGCATATTGAGGTTCTGTTGGAAGTCGAGAGCGCAAACTGGGGCAGTGACCTTGATGGACACTTCAGTTCCATTCCAGTGCTGGCGCAGCGGAAGGCCGGTTCGTATGGCAGGTGCGTCTTTGTCGTCGCGAATGTGGAGAATCAATAATTCCCTTGGAACAAAAGCCAGGAAGGAGTGATCATGACTTTGGAGTGCAATTGGAAGAGCATTGTCTTGTCTGGAAGGAGCGATGATGGAGTGTCCGAGTGGAGGTTGGGAAGCAAGTTGGATCAAATTCCCAGATTTTGTCGTCTTCATTGGAGAACATCGTGCACTCTGCCTGAGCACCCGGCGTTTTACCTCCAGTTTACGGCTTTCTCTACGACCTCTATCTTGCTCGATGTCGAAAATTACTCGGCCCCTCTTTGCGTCCATTCCCCTGGTTTAACTCTCGCCTCTGTCGATGTCGCCTCTGCTCGACCAAGACGTGATTTGACGGCCGTCTCTCCATATGTGCGTCTCACCATTCTACCTATTCCTGATGCTTGCGTTGGGCCACCCATAGTGCAAGAGAGAGAGAGAGAGAGAGAGAGAGAGAGAGCTAAGGTATGGTTGGTACTTGCGAGACACTTCATGTCCATGCCCATGTGTAACATCACCTTTCTAACATGACGCCGCTCCGGCAGTCCACAAGTCAGCAAAAGACAATCAAACAAAAGCAAGTTGCCCATTGTGCACTTGTACGTCGAGTCTGCACTCCGCCGTGCTGAGCCCCATGCCGTGCCTTTTGCGGACAGCTGGCCGGAGCTTCCCCAACTTCGAGTCCTTGACCCGTCTCCACAGTCCAGAGTCCACGAATCCACTCGACGGCTGCACGACACCACGGACCACAGCTCCTATCGATAGACCATTGCGGACAGTGCCATCGGGTCAGCAGCGGCAGCCGACTCATTCTTTGGAAGTTCAGCTGGGGGAGCCGCACGGACTATATACCCTGTGTCAGGCGCAAAAGGCAGAGACATGGCGCGGACTCGCCCGAGACACTGTCCAATTTATCAATGTTCCGGTCAATCCAGTCCGTCAAAAGTGTCAGCGTTGCAGAGTCCCAGTGCTCCAGTGTTTCAACTTGGCATTGCCGTTCGAGCGCCCTAGGAGGAAGGAAGGCTTGGTGTCTCTCTCCAGCAAGCCGGCCCATTGCGACTGTGTCATTGCGGATCGACGCCACCCGAAGCTTAAACTGAGCCGCGTACGCCACCGGAGCTCAGGTTGACATCCGAGGCTGAGGATCCGGGCCTCCTGGGGCTGTAACATGAAGATCCGGGAAGATATCGGCAAATCAAGCGACTGGAAGTGCAACCTCACTTGATCGTCCGAGAGCTCTATCGACCTGTGTACAGGTAGGTCCCATCCAATAAGTGTTTGAATATGCCCTTGCCACCATAACGCCGGATGCCATCATGGACCTTGCTCAATCGTCGCAGAGATCTAGTCAACCTGAATAAGTACCAATCGTCCAGGAGTCACAGAAGCTGGATCGTGCTGACGTCTGGATAGGTATTGTTCTCGCAGTCTTGATGTCGATTGGACTCACTGGAGTGCCATCAGCTAGAATCAATACCTGTTCATGTGCAGTTCTCGCGATTTTCCATACGCCAACGCAAAGCTTCCTCCACAATTCTGCTTTGAACACGAGTTAAATATCCACGTAATACACTTCGTGATGACCAACTCCAGGTTCTCCGCGGGCAACTCAGGCAATGAACAGTTGATTAAGCAGACTATCTGGAATCTTCCAAGGCATACCTCACGCCATCTTTGCTTTGGGTGCACGATTAACACCTGTGTTTCAAGCCAAGAACTTTCCATGATGTCGCCATCAAGGTACATTGTCTTCGGCATACCGCAGTATTTCGGGCCGTTGGACTTTAGGGTCCCAGGGTTGACAGTGACAATTCAAGTCTCGAATGCCGTGAATATAGGGTTATAGTAGAGGGATTGAGCAAACCCTAACACCTAATGGCCCGAAATATTGCGGTAGGTACCTCCAATCTTTTCCTGCTGCTTTGTTTCGGCCCGAACAGGAGAACACGGTCGCGAAGCATAGAATCATGCAGAGAAGTAGGTGCATAATATTTTGTGAATGAATGTATTGTTGAGTCATTGCCCATATAAATAAACAACATCCTCACCATTCTTAAAACGCGAAATACTTCTGCTGTGCTATAAACACTCATCCATCCATCACCATCTCCATATCCGCCTCTATCCAGTACACCCATTTCAGTGTCTTGTACCCTGTTCCGTCTCAAGAAAAAAACCTTCTGTCGCAAATCCCGTCGCAAAGGGGTACACAACATATTCCAAAGAGGTACACGACATATTCTTCTTCTTGCTCCGAAGACACCACCACACCCATCCCATACCCATACCCATACCCATGTATGTCACGGTGTGTGTCTTACACTCTCACGCCTCTTGTGCCCCCCCTTTGTCCCTCCATGTCGTTTTCCGTCTTACAGCACTTTCCACCTTCCACTTTTCATGTCGACTGCCAATGCTATTTGGTCCAATCCTTTTTCGGGTTACACCAATGCTTGTCCTGCTTGTCCTGGCCAATTACAGTCCACTCGTTGGAAGGCTTCATCCATCCAGCGTCTGTCGGCCGTTCACCATCCACCATTCACCCAGCATCCATCTCCACTGGCTGGTGGAGGATGTCCTTCCGTGCCGTCCGTACGTCAAGATATCTTAGGTTCTGAGATCATCGCGATGATCTCCATTGTCCATGTCTTTGTTTAGATCGCGCTTCCTCCAGATCGCATTGGCCGAGTGGCCGGGCTTCGGCCGGTGCCGTCCACCAACCGCCGTTGTTCTATTTTTTCGGTTTCCTCATTTCGTCGTTTCCTCCCGTCTTATCGGTTCGTTGTTTCTCATTGAGTGACCGCAGATTAAGAGCCAGCCCTTCTTTGACGTCGGCCAACTGCCAGTTGCAGTCGTCATCCATCCACACTCCATACACAGCCCTAAGCCAAACAACGAAACGGAAAGAGCCGTCCATGAATACCTCTAGTACAGATAACTCGGAGAGTCCAGCTAACTGTGACTGACGGGAAGTAAGTTTAGTTCTCACTACCCCATACCCAGTCCCGCGAATTTGTCCGTCGAGATCCCAGCTCCATACAAGCCGTATCCAAGCCCACGCCCCACGGCAACAAGCATACAAGCAGGGTACGGTTTTGGCGTTCCTGTCGTGCCACTCGACCCACTCGAGCATATCTCAGGATTGGATCTCAGGATTGGATCCCAGGATTAGACCCCAGGATACCAGGATTCGCAGAATACCAGGATCCCAGTACAGGAGTACAGCAGTACAGCAGTACACAGCAACTCGCAACGATAGTACCCTATACCAGGAAACAAGCACCAAAGCTAGTATATAGCTTGCCCATCATGACCGACAACCAGCAGCAGCAGGCCAAGCCGATCTACGTCGCGACTTATGGCCGGGATCCTAAGATGGCTGCGGCTGTTAGTGAGAAATTGATGCCTGATATTGAAGGTTGGTCTATTCCTGTCTTATTTCTTGTTCGTTGTTATTTGAGGGGGGGGATTGCCGAGTAGGTATGGAAGGTACCGACTGGACTTGAACTGGTCGTGTGGTGTGCCGTTCTGTTCAATGTCCAAGCTGGTATCCCTTCTTCTGTTCTTTACTGGCGCTATCCCCCTTTCCAACCCTCTCCTTGGGTTCCTCGGTTCCATCCCTTCTCCTCATCCTCTCTTCCCTCCTTCACACCTTCATGCCTTTACCTTTTCTTCTCTCACAGTTCACTCCACCGCAAGCAGGAAACAAAACAAAACAAAACACCCAAACATCAGACAAACAAATACTCACAGCCCCTCCCCATAAACAGTAGTCCACACCTCCCTCTCCCTTTCCACCGCCGTTCACGAGCTCCCCCTTCTCTTCTCAGGCGACACCTCCATTACCCCCGCCTCTGGTCTCGGCTCCAACACCAACCTCCCTCCCACCGAACGGCACATCCCGACCGCTTTGTTGTTTGGCGGCGGCAGCTTGACCGACGAAGAATACGAGAGAATTGTCGCGGCCGTGAGGGAAGCGATCCCTGGTGCTGAAAGCGGCACGCCTGTGCAGTTCGTCAGGATCGGCAAGCGAGATGTCATTGCGGCTGGGGCGTTTACGGGGCCGAATCCGGAGACCATTGCTAAGGTTTATCGAAAGAAGCTTGCTGGGGCGAGGGCTTAGGGGGTTCTTTGGTGATGATGATGATGATGGGTATGGGGTCGATGGGTATGGGGTCAATGGGCGTGGGCCGGTCGATAGGGTGCGCAGGTGCACCCGGGAGCAGAGGGAGGAGGAGGGTCGTGGTGGTATCGGTGGCCGGTTTGGTGGCGGTGATGGCTCCCCTGTAGGGAACGACACTAGGAAGGATGGTACAAAGGGCGGAACGAGAAATGGGAATGGCAACAGCAAAAGGTTCTGGCAAAGGTGCAACTCGGCCGACAGCGGCATCGGAATACCGGACGACAACAACATGGACAACTCGGAAGTCCGAAACGACACCCTCGGCGCCGCCATCGCCTCCGGAACTTCCACCTCCTTCACCTTTGCCGGATCCACTGGTTGGAGGTACATCAGCCTCTCAGATGACGACCACATGTATGGCGGCATGCACAGCCCACATGCAGACCAGGATGAAAATGTTGGCCTACTCGGCGGCATGCGATTCCGAGGCAAGAACAACAAAGGAAAGAAAGTTGGCATGTTCGCCAGCGGCATTCCAGAGGAAGACGAACATGAAGATGACGATGCCGATGGGAAAAAGAAGGGCGGCGGCGTCAAAGGGAAAGATGGCAAGTGCGGTGAAGGATGGTTCGAAACACTCATGGTCCATGGATTCGGATCAATCGCTCATTTATATGTGCCGTGTACTGATTTCATCACGTTTGAAGAGAATGACCTGGGCGGAAGAAAAGAGGTGGTTGGTGCGATGATGCCGAGGCAGGCGCAGGCGCATATTGTGATTTTCGATGATGGGTTGGGCGGTATAGCGCTTCGTGATTTATAGTTGTTGTTGTTGCTGCAGTGAATGAGATTCCCGGTGTTCCTTTGTTTCAATCCCGTCTATTTCACGGCCCTCTGTCGTTTCACCCGACGTAATTAGAATGTCGCGGCGATGAAGGTGACATCGTGCCCGGAAACTCTGATCCTTCCTCCACGTCTGAAACAGAATCCAGAAGGTCATCGTAGTTTGTGCTGGAGGTCACGCTCGAACTCCTCTTCTGTCGCTTATTGTTAGACGGGCCGGGTGTGGGTTTATTTTGGTCGTCTTGCACGCCTAGCTCTTTTGTCGGTTGGGCGTTTGATTGACTTGGATAGACCAGGATTGAAGGCATGTTCCTAGCTGTTGTAGGTGGTGAAGGGGAAGAAGAAGGGATTGTCCAGGATGATGTTGTGGAAGAGCTAGGCAAGCCCACAGGAATAATCGGCGTCGGATGAGTGGTCGCAGTGGTAGGATTGCTCTCAGGAGTTAGAGAACTCGAGTGACTGGCTTCTTCAAGGGAATACTTCCTGGGGCGCGACGCAATCGGGTCTTTTCGCCATGGTTCCTTCAGCTTATAGGTGTTACCCGGCTCAGGAGCTGATTCTCTTCGCCGAACCTTGTCCCATCTCTCGTTGTTCCGACCTCCCTCAGGAACCGGTTTCCTTTCCCGCCAATTAATCGACTCCTTGTTCTTCTCACCCCGCCCAAACACGGATTGCTTCGTGTTGCTGTTCAGAGAGGTACCAGTCTCAGGTTGTGGCGCAGTTCGCTCGTTATGCCAATCTCCCGCAATAACTTTGCGCCTCTCATCCCGCTTCTCGGAAAATCTCTCCATCTTCTCAAATGAATCTCTCTTGAGCCTTGGACCGGTCGCGAGGCTGTGTGTATGATGCCATAACTTGAGGATTATGAAGGGGAGAGTATACACCTTCTCCGTGTTCACGGCTGACGCTGTGTCGAGGCTCGCCCTGCCACCCGCTAAATCCAAAGAGAGATCTGGGTCTTGACATTCAAGCTCTGGAAGAAGCGGGATAGGCATGCAATCCGGGAACCTAGGAACCCTGGTTCCCGGTTGATAAGGGCCCTCGCGACCGAAGCTAGTCACCTGAATGGGGCCATGTTGGTTATCAATTGCTGTTTGAGGGGAGATTCCGGGACAGGAGCAAATGGGTGTCAGTGTCCTGAGAGCGATATGAAACAGAAGCGACTAACCGGAAAGAAATCAACAGTTTCCGTATTCCCTATCCGACTCTTGAATAGCACAACCGGATGACCGCATATTTTATCGTCTATCTGCTCGACGTGGTGAATTTGATCGTCTTCGATGTCCCCCTTTTTTGGCAGGTACATTATGACGCCTCTGATGTCGTCACCTTCTTCCCAAGACCTCATATGAGGGGGCAGGTACTTCCCGACCGCTTCGACGCTGCTGGGCTCGTCTCCAAACTCAGCTGGAGATAACATAGTTACTGCGCCCATGTTGTCAAATGACACGCAGATCTGCGATTACCAGAATCAGGTAAAAACAACTCCACAGGCCCTCCGGAGTGGGAAATTGGAGTGCCGTAGGTTGCCATTGGTGTTCTGAAGAACGCGATTAGTCCAATTGAAACATGGTGAAGTAACGTGACAGAACTTACCGGTAGTGCGAGTAGTTTGCGGTCAGTACTGAGAAAGCGAAGCCTTCCCGCTGGGCTTGACGATAGTGAGCTATGATGACGTGAGAGATTCAATGTTGAGCTGGGGAAAAGGAATGGGTATCAAGGGAAAGAGGCAGGAAGTGGTAACCGATTTAGCAAACGAGAAAAGGCAGAGCGCAATAAGCAATGGGGGAATTCGGCGGAATACAACGCTGGGGAATGTTGGCTGATGAGCTACGCCATGAAGAGGCATGTAAAAGGAGAGAAGAACGAGAAGACACATACGCACGCCCGCAGTCTTCCGATTCTGGGCCTTCTTGCCAACCACGCAGAAGGCAGACGATACCTTTCTCGCCAGGGCTACCGGGTCTGTACGAGGAAAGAGACTGGCAATTCTTTATCAGCCCTTAGGGCGCGTTCGTTCAGGTAATAGTGAAGTGACAAAGTCTTTTTCTGGTGATCAGAACGCCTTGGGTTATGGACAGAAGAGTATCTCTTGCTGCACTACTGACGGAACAAACACGGCCTTACGAGCGAGTAGTCTAGAATATCCGGAATAGCGTTAGATGCGTTAGACGCGTTCCAAATACGTTATGGCAGCTATCGCACGACAGAGTTGATAGCTGGATACCTTAAACCCGGGGAGTTGCCAACTTACAACGCAAGATCACGATTTGGTAAACCACCGGCAAAGTCCATGGCAACCCAAACAAAAGGATGTACGTGCATAGCTACATGTGGCGAGCTCATGGCAGCCGTCGATAAGCCCATGGCACCGTCGCGGTAGCAAGCATTCAGCCCTGCAGCTCGCCTGCAGGAAGCAGTGGACTGCAACATGTACATAGTGGCAGAATGCGCGCACCTCGGGTGCTTCGAGGCGTGGGATTTGATTGAGATCACGAGCCACGTTCGATCGAGGTGTTGAGTGCCTGAATCGGCAAGAGTCTGACAAGCCCTGAAGGCCAAGTTATGTTCCCGCTTCACATCGGTTTGTGCTATCAGGAATCGGCCACTTCGGAAGTCAGTTGTCTATCGAGCAATAGTCCCGAAGAAAAGGTGAAGATACACAAAATGGGTAAGGTCATCGGATGTAGGTACCTAGGTATATGGGCCATGTCGCCGTGCCTGATTGGATAACCTGTTCTGTTCTGATCAAGCGACTGGCTTCGGCACAAAACAAAACACCTGATTACCAAGGATCGTTAGTCAGGTAGGTACATATGCAGGAACGGATACCAAATGGATGGATGTGAGGTGAAACTAACCGCATTAACTGCACGCACGCCAAACCGACAGGTGAATGCACCCCAGACAGAGTGCAGTCCAGAAGTAGGCAAGTCCCGAGAATTTGGAGCGTTGGCGCTGAGCAGAGCTCCCAGGCATGGAGCCAAAGATCCTGTAGGCGTTAGTTACAGAAACGAAGAGGGTTTGTTGGTAGGAATGGGGCGGCAGGAGGTGGTCAAGTGCACGTCCAGAGAGAGAGTGTGTATTCAAGGATTGCGATGATCAATTAAGCAAAACACAAAGAACCAGGTAGAGATTCCAGCGAAAGACACTTTATCGCAACAGAAAGTTCAGTTAGTTTCCTCGTCACCCACCAATTCACAGTTTGACTCGACCTTTCCCCGTTGTACAATTCAAGAGTGGCAGGAGCGAGCAGATCCGGCTGGTACGGATTGCAGAAGTGGACCGTCGCGAACGGTGCAAACATACGATACAATATTGCGGATATGCATGTTAGTGCATATCTGCCATGTGTTAGTGTTTCATGCCTCAGAACGAAATGCCCACTAACTAATACTAGACTAGCATCTTCATAACTTGTATGGGTCAACAACTCATAGGTACTAATAGAGGTAAATCATCATCCGTGTCGCTATCCCATAAACGGCTCACGTCCGAGTCACTTCCGCCTCCGTCGTCCACGTTAGGCGTAGAGCCTTTGGACAGATCATCTGACATAGCATCAAATCTGTGGTTCCCGTCCCGCCATCGCCGCTCCTGAGGCAATAGTTCGCATCCAGACCTATACCATACCCGTACAATCGATCGTTCAACGTCTTCGTTGGTCCACCGCGAGGTCCTAGGGGTGTATGAGGGGGTATTAGAGGGACTTGAGGGGGTGGTAGTGTCTGACGGGATAGGGGCGTTCGAGGGGGTATGGCTCAGTTCCTCAGTTGCTCCTGGTCCTTCTCGCCACGAGCCCTCCATCTCCGACCGTTTCCGTGAGAGGTGATCGATATAATCCATCATTTTGTGAAATGACGACATCAGGAGCTTGGGACTGGTGATAAGATTCCATCCAGAGCCCCAGTACCTAAGCGACCAATAGGGCACGGTGTAAATTGTCCCTACATTTACGGCGCATTCTTTCGGGAGGGTTGCCATGCCGCTCTGCAGGAAAAGAGTGTTGTCGGTCTGTGGTTGGTCTCGACGGGACGAAAGATCCATGAGATCACGATGCCTCAGAACCCCGGGACTTGTGAAGGGGCCTCTGTCGCCGTTACTGGTTACCTAAACGGAACCATTCTGGTTAACACTCACCAGGCCAGCGGATTCCATGGTCTGAATGAAATGACTGTACTGCACCCTTGTATTCAGTCCGAGGAGAAACGGGAGCGACCTACCAGACAAACACGGACAACTTCCGTATCTTCTTCCCATCCCTTTGACAGAATCATGACTGGATGGTTGAACCTGTCATGTGGCATATCCAGGATGTCGAATGTTTGCAGCTCAGAAATAATCGATTCCTTGCGCGGGAGGTACTTGATAACACCTCGGACATCGGCACCACCATTAGAGCTGAGCCTCCTCCTAGGGACCATGTATTTCATGCCGTTTGTGACATTGCCAGGGTCTCCCGCTCCCTGGGGCAGTGCTGAGAGAACTGCTTCGTCCGTGTTGGCCGTGGATACACGGATTCCCGGAAAGACTTCAGGGGAGGGAACTTCAGTGGGAGATGTTCGGTGCATCTTGACTGAAAACACACGGGACCACGGGTCAACTTAAGCGGAGCAAGCTACGCCGTATACACAGGCAATTTACAGGAGGTAGATGCCTCGGTATCGTAGGATCTAAAGAGCACGGTTAGCCCCTGTGTACCATCTTTAAGGTAGCACGGCCATACTCACCGGTGGCGTAAGTGTACTACAGTAAGTCCCGAGCAATATAGCCTTCCCGCTGGGCTTGATGGGTGTGAGCTGTGGTAGTGGGATCACCTCCAACGTCTGCCGACACAAGAGAATACCCAAGAGCAACGAAATACGAGATGTTGACCGTCATGGCAGACTGAGAGAGGGAGAACTCGGTGTACCGAGGAAGGTTCGAGTGGAACGAACGTTAAGCTCCCTTGCCTGCTTTCACCTACAAGTTCTATGAGAACTGTAGACACTTATACTTGAACCAGAAACGCAGATTGGCTGACCGGAGATAGTGCGGGTCGGCCAATGGCCTCCCTCAGTTGGTACCGGTTGTTGCTGTTTTTTGTACAAGATCGACGTGTACCGAAAACATTCGAGGTGAGCAGGGAGTGTCGGAGGGGGTGCATAATACCTTGATACGCGTATTTACGAAAGTCAAGTAAATAAAAGAAGTCAAATACGACCTCGTTCCTTGTAAGAATGCAAGTTTTAACCATGGTAGGAACTGATTGACCCTTGGCTTGTGCGCAGCGCTGGATGCACGAAAGTACATAGCGCATTTCATCTTAGCACATCCAGCATATGATAATGGCATAACTCAAAAATGTTCTGACAGCCGCGTGTTGTTATGAGACGGCCACTTGGATGATTACCGGAAGTAGTAGTCAGTTTCGGTCCCGAACCACGACGACAGTGAACAAAAAGGGACGATGACCCGAGAGAAATGCTCGAGATGCTGACGGGACTGCGTCCAGGCGCGATGTTGTTATGTTCTTGCGACTACCATCAGTGGGCTCCAAGTGCGCCGTATTATCGTTGCTTCTCGCGCATAACCTTTTGGGATTTGAGTGTTGTTGCCAAACACTAGATAGCCGGTTCCAGAAGAAGCGACCTGGCCTCGCTAACGTTGCTAGAAAACAATCCAACTTGTCAGCAAAACTGGCACTCGTTGGTGAGGCTGACAGTTCCTGTCTGTTCGGATTGTCAGCCCCATTAACTGGTAAGGATACCACGGGCATGCAAAAGTTGTGTAGGCGAGGCACTTACACGCAGATCAGGCGTGCGCCTGCATCGTACCACCTTCCCGGGGCTAGAGATGGGCATGCGGAGCGGGATTTCTGTCGCTTTGAGCACATTTGCGATGCTCAACTTGAAGATCACCAAGATCACGAGGGGTGAATATACAACGAAGGAAAGGGAGTGGGTAGTTTGCAACTAAAGTGGTCGGCGAGAGATGGTCAAGTGTCCTTGGACCCTTGCAAAGAAGATTGTTTGGAAGCAAAACAGAGGGCCAGGGATCCTGAAAGGAAGGGACCCTTTTCACGAGACAACTTCGATCAATCCAGTCCTCTCGTCACGCACCAGTTCACAATTTGAGTCGATGCTTCCCCGTTGTACTATTCCTGTCAAGAGTGGAAGGGGCGAGGGGACCCGACGCTGTAGTGGACTCGCACGCAGAAGTAAATAGAAGTCGCGTGGTGCAGATGCATAACATCGCAGATGTTCCTGCTTCCCGTGTGTGCATAGTACATGCGTGCTAAGAGATAGTGTTTTCACGCCTCAAATTATATTCCTCACTAACAGACGTTAGCACTTGCTATCTCACTCGAGTCTCAACGGGAAAGCGGTTGGATTAGCAATGACTCATTTTGCCTTTTCATGGCGTCTTCGGTTTCCTAAAATTGATTAGGGACAAATTTTGAAACCTCTCTATCAATTTGCTCTTTCCTTGTTCTGTGCTAGCCCACCCGACCGGCTGCCCTCACGAGCACAATCAGGTGGACATGACATCTCGCTCCGGTCATGCCCCGTGCAGAAACCGTGACTGCGCCATGCCCTCCAAGTCTCTTCTCCATCAGCGGCAGGGCGGCCGCTTCAACATGGAAGCAGAGGATCAAAGGTCAGGACACCAACGCTGATCTTGGCGCCGTCCAAGTTCATCCGTTGTCGGCTGTCTTCAATTTCCTGCGGCTCCCCTCTCCAACCCATTCGTATCTCCCGTCGGTTCCGGACTTCTGACTTCCAACCGAGTAACTCCTGAACCATGTGCCATCTTCAAATTCCACGACGACAACACAAGCCTCGCCTTGCGTCCCCTTTCGTTCCACGTATCACTTCACCTTTCCCCACCTTGCCTGCCAGTGCCCCCTTCGGGTGATTTATTTCCTTCTGTTGGTTACTGGTCCGTTCTCTCAAACCGTATTAAACTGAATTTTCCTCGCACCTTGTCCTGCTGCTCTCCTTCCTCTTTCCCCCCAGGTAATTCCCAGAAGACTACACACGGGCTCACTGAAAAACAGTGGCCGTGAATGTACCGTTTTGGGGAACCATTTGTTCCCTTCTACCACCTCCATTCAGACTCCAGTCACATCCCGACCAATAACCTTCGAGTCCGAGTGTGAGATATGGTCTCCCGTCTGTCAGGCGACACATACTCACGCCGTTACCAGCTGGTACCCGCGGGTCAAGTTTCAACCTCCATCATAACGCTGTCCTCGCTCCCATTGACGACATCATGCTCCTTTACGTTAGGCCCTCTGCTTCCACAGCCCCTCCAGAAGCTCACACCCCTCTCTCACCCCCCTCGTCACAATCTCCGCCCTCTTCTCTTCCGTGAACAGGTTGAAATGGTTTCCCTCAACTTCCATCACCTTCCGTACCATGCCCTCATGGTACTTACCCCACCCCAGCGTTGCGTCTTTACGCTGTACATCCGTCCTCGACACCTCCCCCTCTTTCACCTGCTCTTCCTGCAGCGGCACGTTCTCCTTGGCCTTGAGCAGCACCACTGGCGGCGGACCGCCTGTTTCCCGCTCGGACAGCGCCTCCTGCTCCTCCAGTCGAGGCCACGTAGGCATTTCCCAAAACGAAAGCATGCGCCTCGCCTCGTGAAAACACCTCAGCACCGCCTCCTTGGTCTCAGGCTTGGTATGCGGGCCCCATTGCATAGTCGTCGCATTGGGACTGGCAATCTTCGCGTCCTGCGGAAAGTGTTGCTGGTTGGGGTTCATGCTGTCGATCATGACGATTCCTAGCACGTTCAGTTTTCGGGCATTTTCCTTCGGTTTCCCTGCCGCCTGTGCTTTAGCCGCCTCTCCCGTGTTGAAATCGAGGATTTGTCTGGAAAGTTCCACGGACACCATGCCCCCCAAACTCCAGCCTCCAAGGATGAGATCACGTTCCCCTTCCTTGGGATTTCCACCCTTTGCAGCGGAAACTTTGCCGTTACATTGGTCATCACCGTACAGCGTGTCGATTATGTACCTGAGGTAGGTTTTGGCCATCTCGGGGATACCGCCTTCAAAGGTGGACTTGGATGAGTAGCATGGGTTGAAGAGACCGTAGACGGGGCGGTGCAGGTCGGAGAGGCAGTAGTAGGAAAAGATGGTGCCGCCACCGTCGTGGAGGAGGAAGAGAGGGGTGCGGGAGGTGGAAATAGGAGTGAGAGGGGTTTGAATTAAGTTGGGATTTTGGCGGAACATCGTGGCTGTTCGCTGGGTTTGTTGGTTGTTGATAATATGCTGGGAGTTGGTGATTTGGCTGATCCCTAGCTAATGATATGGGTTGACTTCTAGAGGTGATTCTAGGGCAGTGGGAAATTTTGGCGGTGAGCTGGTTCTTGTTCCTTGTCGGTTGTTGTTTGGTTGACGGTAAAAGAGGAAGACGACAGCTTGATCGGTGGGCTCTTATACCCCGTGTTTGCGACAGTGAGCTATTGTTGCGACCCTTCACCGTCTCGTTTGTCAGTTATTGATGGGCGAGTCACCAAGGTTGTGACTGAAAGAATGACTGTTGGAGCTTATGAGTCGTACTCGTACGGGCCGCGAAGTGAAGAGGCGTACCGGTGGATGCAAAAAGCGTTTGGTGCTATTCAGGTTCCTTGAATTTTTGTCCCAACTGACCCTTGTAATAATAATACCAACAAATTTGATCCGAGTCAGGACCAACAGGAGACAGGACGAAGTGAGGCAACAGGTCGTTGGTCTGGACCTGTGGTATTGTTGGTACTTGGGGTCCAAAGGATGACGTGGCCTGAAAGATGGAAATCAAGAGTGAAAACCCCGTAGCTACAACAAACGGCGTCAAAAGCGGCTGTATATTGACGAATGAACTGGAAGTAGCAGAGAATGTCAAAAGAAAAGAAGGAAGGGGAATGAACGAGGGAAGTGTGAATTAATTCTCGGCTATCGCAGATCACATCACGACCCATGCATGTAAAGGTCGCCGTTGTAACCGGGGCGGGGACCTTGATGATCGGCTCCCGTTCACCGGCGACCGCTGACGGCCCCACGTCCCGAAGGAATGCCCCGCTTTTGACGGACTGGCTTGTTGTTGTTGTTTGCAAGCTATCTTCACGAAATCCACGGAGTGCATTCCCAAAATCCGGTCAACGTGGTGGGTGGCGACGAATCCGAGTCATGATTCCCGCCGCGTGCTGTCAAAACTCAAAATACCTTGGGTCCAAAGCTTGGGTCGGGTGCGAAAAGCCACCGAACCAGATATCGGAGAGATAAGGTACCGTACCGTATGCAGGGCTGACAGGAACCGAGTACCGAGTACCGGGAACGGAACCGGCACGGGAGGCTGACGACATCCGTTAATCCCGTTAGTTGCCTTGCTGGCTGCTCAAGTTGTCAGCTTGTGTGAGCTTCCCGTTATCGCGTGTTGTCACCATTTGCCTCGTGGTCCTTGGTGGTGACAACCGACGGCTGTCTGCTGTGTGGTCCTTTTCTGTTCTGTAGGTAATCTTCACCACTCGCCACCTCGCGGCTTTCATCGTGGCGACAGAAGGGATGTCCGCCAAAGGCCAAAAGAGAAAAGAAGAAGTATGGACGTAACCGCCTTCAACCTCATGATATCGTTTCGTAGAGGGGATAAGAAACGTCAAAAAAAATAAGAATTGCTAGTAGGGATATCACATCACATACATATTCTGCCAAAAACTATCACCGCCAGCCCCATTCATCCATTCTTCCAAAAAGCCATTGTCGAGAGGGGATAAGTAAACCCATATATATGCCTTGCTGGCTTCCAACCACTCAGTCTAAGCTCCTTTTTCTCCTTTGAACGCCAGTAAGTACTACAAATGAAACCAGCCAACCGGCCAGCCTCCCATCCTGTCCTGCCCTGTCTCCCGCCTGCATGTAATGATAGTAACAAACCTAACCTCCTTTTTTCAACTTATCCGTCCGTCCAGGCTATGCAAAACACCGTCGTTTTTTTTTCTCCGGTTTTTTTTTCCCCCTTTCCCCACACCCCTTTCCCCACAACCTTCATCCCCGGTCCTACAGACACCGGTTATTTAAAACTCCCCAGCATCACCCCCACCACCAATAACCCCCGCCGTCCACAACCCAACCAACCCCCACCAACTAACCTTCCATCCCCTCCACAGCCCATCCATCCCTTGTCCCCTCCTATAAACCACCTGCGGCACGCTCTTATCCCCATTCTTCTTGGCCAGCGCCGCCTTGCGTTTCGCCGCAGCCGTCATAGGCGCCGCATGCGACCCTTCCTCATTAACAATGGCGTACATCGTTCCGAACAAGCCGTTATATCTGCCCAATGGCACGATCGTTTCCATCTGCGGCGTCTTGCTATCCCCATCTTCTCTGCTTTCCAGCGCAGCAGCTCTTCGACTCTTGGTAACGGTGGGAACCTTGGGTTCTAGAGCAGCGACGTATTGGGGCGAGGATAAGACGGCTGCTTGGCCGCGACGCAGGACGGTTTCGAGAGGCAGCTTGATGAACAACGCCACCGTGGAGGAGCAGAACTTGGCGATGGAGAAGGCCACGGGGGAGACTTCGCGGTCTATCATGAAGCGCGAGCGCAGGACCAAAGGTGTGGAGAGCATGAAGAAGGGGTGGATGAGGGAGTGCAGGACTGTGGGGATGAAGAGGGTTGCGGGGCAGAGGTAGGAGGGAAGGGCGCGGAGGGTGGAGAGGGTGCGGCGGGAGCCACGGGAAACGGAGGTTAGGACGAGGCTGCACATGCAGTGTTAGTGGACGGTGATGGAGAAGGGTAAGGTAAGGGGAGAGAAGAGGGGAACGTACCGTGTCCGGACCAAGTCCAGGGGAGAAAGGATCAAGCCCGTGATGGCGGCAGCAGCGCCAGCGACGAAAAGTGATGCCCATGGGTATGGTGACGCAATGTCCACCAGTCGATCTAGGTCGCCTCGTACACCCAGATCGGGAACGTTGAAGAGCGCGCTAAGCAAACTTCGCGACCAATTCTCTAGCAGAGACTGCAAAACTGAGTAGATAAACGTCGCATTGTTTCCCTTCCACACACCCCACGCTCCTTCCTTTTGCCATAGTTGCGCGATTACTTCCAAAACGGAATTGGGTGTGCGCATTGTGAGTTGGTGTTCTGGGACTTGTTTGCTGGGGGTGCGCCCTGTCGTCGATGCGCCGCCGGGGCTCGGATCTCTCGGTCTTCCTCCTGAGCGACTTGTAGATGGCGAGGCTGGTCGGTGAGGGGGGACCTTGGCTGTGAAGAAGGAGGCCATTTCATCTTGGTCGGAGTCGGGGTCGGAGTCGTAGGGGGATGGTGTGTCCTGGTGTGTTATTGTTAGCCGGGCTCTATCTTGCTCGCGTGCCTTCTTTTGGTAGGGAACATACCTCATCATACATGCGAATCTTTTGGTTCGTCGCAGCCTTGTGCTTTGCCTGCTCCATCGCGAGAGCCTCCAGTCCCCCCAAGTCATCCTGGGCGCGAACTTGCATGATGGTCTTGGCTACCTCGAAGGGCTGGGCCATGAAGACGGACATGTACTTCCATAGCAGCTCGTCGAGGACTTCCTTGACTGTCGACATGACTGAGGGTGATTGGTCGGTCAGGTACTCCTTGTAGTCGATGTCGATGTCGGAGAAGATGGTTCGCGCCTTGGAGGCATAGTTGTCGGTCGTATTTCCCTGTGTGAAAGCATGGGGCCCGGGTGCCGTCATGGGCTCGACTGCAGGCTCGCCAATGGTGGGAGGGATGTAGTATGGTCTGAGGGGGTTGATGACCCCTTCATTGTGATTGTGCGCCATCTTGTCAATTGAGTTTCTCGGTTGTGTTGTTGTCGTGATTATCGGACTCTTTTTTTTTTTGTTGTGGTGCAGCTATTCGCAGGTTTCGGACGCTGAGGTTTGCATGACGAGATGGAGATGGAGTCGAATCGAAGCGAAGATCCGGGCCTCGGGCGTCGAAAGGATGGACCTGCAATGGAATGGAAGACCTGAGCAATGAACGAGCACGGCCCGGAGCATCAACTGGGCCCAACTGGAGTCTGGAACAGCAGCCAACCAAACACTCTCCAGCGCCTACAAGCGGGAGCTTCCATGTTGTTAGCGCAATGATCATGATAGCGGGGCCCCCGATAAGAGGTCTTGGCGAATCAAGTGCATGGGTAAATTTTCTTCTCGGTACAGTGCTGTGCGGGGGAACTACATGCTGATGCCGGAGCTTTCCCGTCGCGGCTGGCAATTGGAATAATTTGGCCGCTTTTCAGTCAATGACATCGACTGGATTTGGGATCGCTCTGAATGGTTGCACTTTCCCGGGAAAAAAAAAAAATGTTGATGGACTTTGAACCGAATTCCCCGAGACAATGTTCGATTCTGAGCCGAGCAAGCACACGTCGAATCGAATCTGGATCATGGATAGATCTGTGGTCGATGGCAATAGATGCTCTTTGCTTTTTGCGCATTGTGATGAGATGGACTATTCCAAAAAAAAACATGTAGCACATTTCTTCTTTCTGATTCGCGCTGTGATCATGAAGTCCTCAGAACTTGTGCTGCGAATCGTGTCTCTTTGTCGGATTCAGACCTTGGGGGCGCCTGATGTTTGCCATTATTTTGCAGCTGAATACTAGGAGCACAGCACAATGGGAAAAATGAAGGGATTCCAACCTTTTGCAACCATTGGCCTGTAACATTTCGAGTTGTTTTGTACTTTTTATTATCTGCGCTGGCAATGACAACTTGGATTCTTTTGTATTTGTAGACGATGACTCTTTCCGATAATTGATAGTTTCCTGAATCCCCATCCCGGTCGCCAGGTTCCAGGTCCGAAAAGCGTCTCCTCCACTTCCAACGACCGGCTCCGTTCCCGCGCGCCGCATTGGATCTGGGATCGAAACTATCTCCATAATATTGCGGCAACTCCAGTCACCAACCACGGCATTCATTTGTCGCGTATGCCATAACTCGTTCTTCAACACATCCCTTTTGCGATCCGGTTGCGCCTACACAAAAAAACCATATTCAGCACAACACAATGTCGACCCCGCGAGTCCTCAGGCAGAGCCTCCAAAGGCTCGCACAGCATGCCCGGTGCTACAGCAAGACCACCACCTCCTCCTCCGCCCCTCTCCGAACACACCAGAAGCAGCAGCCGCGTCTGCCTACTGCGTGGTCGACTACCCAGATCTCTGCGCGCCGTTCGCTTTCCACTTCTTCCGCTCTCCAGCACGGCCATGTCGATCCTCCCAAGCCTGGTGAAGAGTAAGTCTAGTTGAGCGCATTCCTTCTCGTTGCCCTCTTCCCCCTTCTTCCCTCATCCCGCCGTTGTCCCCCTCGTCCTTCTGCTCCATGATCCCTCCAACCACTCTCCCCCGTCCCCCTCCCTCTCCAACTCTTCAACTGCGCTGACCGTTAGCTCCAACAGACTCTACGTAACATTCATAGACAAAGACAACCACACGCACAAGCTCGCCGTGTCCGCAGGCGACAACCTGCTCGACATCGCGCAAGCGCATGACCTGGAGATGGAAGGAGCCTGCGGCGGCTCCTGCGCCTGCTCGACCTGCCACGTGATCGTGCAGGACCAGGACATGTACGACCGGATGCCGGAGCCGGACGATGACGAGAACGACATGTTGGACTTGGCCTTTGGTCTGACCGAGACCAGCAGGTTGGGGTGCCAGGTGCATATGACTAAGGAGCTCGATGGACTGGTGGTCAAATTGCCGAGTATGACGAGGAATTTGCAGGCTAGTGATTTTAAGTCTTAGACGTGTAAGACATGGAGGTGGGATGATGGGAGAGAAGGGGGGGGGGGAAAGGGTGAGAGGGGGATGTAATATCGATGAGAATGAGATGGGAAAAGCGTAAAGGGCGGGGCGACATGTGCGATACGGTGTAGGATTGATCGAGGGGAAGGAAAAAAGAAGAACCTGCTGGAATACATATGGCGCAGATCTCAAGATCCGGTCCGTTTTCTTTCTGTCTCAAGTCTTCTAGGAGGCGATAGCGTTCTGAAGCGATGTGGTATCATATGTACGAGGAGACTTCAAAATGGGTTCAACTGGTGGCGGGTGTTGGCATGTTAGTTGCGATACCAAGAGTGTGCATTTTTACTACATGGGCCTTGGGGGATTGGATGCTTTTCGCGATATGGTGCCATGGAGGCCTACGATCCGCAAGAAGTTCTTCACCTTTTCACATTCGACAGGGAGCTGGGACATTGATCAACTATTCGCTCTTAATTCCGAGCATGGGGTTGTACATAAGAAATAGGCCAGACCTTTACAATATGCAGACAAACAACAAAAATCACCACTCTACACCCTTCTTCGGGTGCAATTCCCATCCCCCTTCTGTTTAAGCCTCCTCCAAACCCCCCTTCTTCAACCCCCCACCACCGCTCGCAATCAAGTCCAAGAACCCCTTCCTGCTCATCTCCGTAACCTTCTCCTCCCTCCTCTTCACACCTACAATACCCTCCTGCCTAGCCTCCCGCTCCGCCTGCATGGCCTTGACCTGCGCCGCCCTAACCGCATTAAACAGCTTAACCACACCCCTCTGCGCCGTCTTCCTAAGTCTCCTCTCCGTCTCCAGAATCTGCCCCGTCGTCTGCTCGCCCTCCTTGCCATCAGGAATCTCCTCGATTTCACCAGTCTGGATATTCAGCGTCCTGGTCTTGCTGGGCACCAGCACATCGCGGACACGACCCTTCTCAAAAGCCAGACGCTTCTGCTCGCGCAGCCTCTTGCGCGCTTTGGCTTCCAGGGCGGCGTCTACGAGCGACTTGGCGGCTGCGGCGGACTCGGAACTGCGGGCAACGATGGGGTCGGCGCGGCGCGAGGCGGGCAGCTTGGAGGAAAGCATCTTTGTGATGGAAGTGGCGAAGGCTTCGGGGTCGTTGCGCTTGGATTTTGTGTTCTGCTTGCCGGACTCGGCGTCAGAGCCGTCGAGGTCGAATTCATCGTCGTCGAGGTCGTCGGAGCCTAGGTCCGAGGCGCCGCCCTCGTCTTGGGAGTCGTTGTCGTCTGAGGAATCTGGGGCATCTTTGGCGATGAACTTGTTGGGTTTTTGTAGTGTAGACTTGGGCTGCTTGGACTTCTTTGATGACTTTTGTTCGGTCTCGGAGTCGGACTGTTGTTGGCCTTCGTCGGAATCAGAGTCGTAGTTGTCTGTGGATGCGCCATCGTCGGCAAGAAGGTTGTCGAGATCTTCGTCGTCGGAGTCAAGCAAGTGGCCGGGGATGGTCGCGTTGGCACCGGTTCCCTTGAATCCTCCTTCGTTGTCGGATCCCTCCTCTGACTCTGACTCTGAACTACTGTGGTAGGCGGCCAATGCTTGGGCTTTCTGCTTCTTCGAGGGGCGGACCGGCTTGCCCTTGCTGCTGGGGCCCTCTTTGCGCTTTGACATGCCCATGGTTGTGGTTGTGTGTATTTTCGTTCGGTTGGATGTTGGTTGTATATGTGAATTAGGAAGAAGACCGAATCGTGGTTGTGGTGGAATGTGGTGGTCGATCAACACAGATACCGAAGAATTGTTTATCGCGGACGGATTGGAGATGCAAGGCAGATGGTCGAGGTTCAGAGTGCAGGTCCCTCCATTCGAAACTTCCCAATTGCTGAGGTCGCTCTCCACTCAGAAATTTTTGGCGGTCGCGCGTGGCAATAAGCCTACAGGCCCTATTTGGGGGCTGTGGTGGTGGGACTTTTCTCAACCCCCTACTCATTAAGTAGGGGGAAAAGAAATTCTAGAACAGCGAAATATTCTGGGACAATCTACATTGGCGCTAAAACATGAGGAAATTTGTTAGTGTAACATCCACCTCCAACTATTGCGTGTGACGAATTTTGACAGTTGTAGCTTAAGGTATAGTTTTAAATCCTTGTTTTTTATTTCTCCTTCCACGCTTGGCCAAAATCGATGCACTTTGAAAGCTTCCTTTTTAGAAGTATATTTTCCTCTTCAATTTTTTTGGGAATTTTAGAAAATTGTTTGTATAAAAAGGTAGATAGTTTTCTGGGAGTGGTTCAGTTTGTTTCATGAATATTTCACTATCTCAGACTTTTTTGCTCCCTCTTTTATAAGGAGGTTGACGAAAGAGTCCCAGGCCGTACCACAACCCTCAAGTACCCTTGTCTCCAAGTGATCCAGTTTGAGCGGAGCCACGGGCAGGGCCAGCGGGGATGGCCACGCTCTGCCGTCATCACGGTGACCCCTAACCCTGGGATACTGGTGACTTCAGCGGCTCAAATGACATCCAACTTCAACCTTGTCCCGTCACAACTTCACGTCGAAATTGTCAGATATTGCCCGGTCATTCACTTCACCCTCTTTGCTTTTTTTTCGGGCCGAAACAGTTCGACATGCATACATTTGCCCCATGAATGGACGGCAGCGACGGCTCTTCGAATCTGGTCCCAACCGGAACTGACTACCTCGACTGGATGCAGCACTGACAGGCAGCAGGACAGCTCCTGCCATTCGAGCAGCACGCTTCTGCAGTACAGTCATACCTGCTCTTTGAAACCGGCTTCAATCCAAGTTTGGTAATCAGATACCATCTCGTGCCCTGTCGAGGGTCGCCACCTTTCCTCTTTGCCTGCCCAAAGAGCCATACCGGTATTTGGGAATTTTCCCAGTTTTGCTAAGGGGGACATCGGGGTACATGTTGCTACTGCTTTCTTGCCGTGAAGGGAGATGTCACTTTCAAGTCTCATGCGGAGGAGGTAGTGACTCTGGTTAACTTCAAGGAAAGATGGCCTTTTGGGCGGTGAGAAAAGGAAAAAGTAAAAGGAAAAAAAATTGAATGAACGAGGAATGCTGTTTCCCACCCCCGTTGCTCGTCTCTTTCCCCGCAACTTTGCGTGTTAATCTCGTAAGATTCAGAACCACGTCCATCCAACAAGGCAGTTTCAGGATCTGCCTATCCAACAGAGGTAAGCCATACATTCTATCCGCCTTCAAGGCTTCAACTTACCGGTGTTTGCATCCAGGTATTAAGTATCAACCAGCATGCCACCACCCTTTGCATCATTGGCCTGATCTCCACGACGCTCCGATCATCAACAAGACTGGTGCTTTTTGAACCACACGGAGACAGATGATTATGTAGAACGACAACGTGTCGGTGAATGTTTCAATTGATGAGAGAAGAACAACATGGCGGTCATCCATTCTCAGGAGGCAGATCCCGTGGCACCAGAGTGTCGAATGGTAGACTGTCTTCGTGTGATGTCTCACCAATAAAGCAAGCACTCGGTGCCTTTAATGCCAAGCGGTTTCGATAAGAACGATCACAATTTCACAATGGCCCTATCCTCTGACATACAACAAAGTGTTTCTAGTTGCCAAAGACCCTAAACCGCCCGACCCCAAGGACTGTAGCGGCAAGGTCAAGTACCTACCGCATTCGCAAATCATCCATCCCGGTTGGAAACCAGAACAGTTCAATAAGCCAGAGCATCAGTGGATCTTTGGGCATTCGGTCATGATGTTATCTAAAGAGCCCTCAGCAAAAGGGAGTGTTGATGTCTGCGTGGTTGGTTGACCACGATTCACATGTTCAAAGGGCTGGTCCATGGCACAATGCCGTCCACCTGGATCTTTGAAGGTCGCGATCTCGAAGCCGAGCACGGCCACTCCCTTCAATCCCGCTTCTACATGCCTATACACACACTACTTGTACACCCTTCGCATGGACACCCTTCGCGGGGCTCATCACAAGTGGTACATTTATGGATGGCTCATGTGACAAAGGTTCATCTGGCAAGGGCTCATCCTCTGATGGAAGGTACATCTGCTGAGCGTTCGTCTTCCGGGCGTCAGGCCCCTGACGGCCCACCCTCCTGACGAGGCGGTTGACATGGCTTACAAGGAAAGTGCAGTGCCAAGGTGCGTTGAGACCGTCGCTGTGGTCGTTGGCCGTTTCTGGAGCTCACACGACGGCAGTGAGGAGGTGACTGTAACATCTACTGCCGAGGCAAGGTCAGGACACGGAGCGGGCAAGCTGCTTACCTTTGCCAGTCCACGCGATGATGCAATAAGGGCAATGAGGTCGGATGGATGTTGTCTGCATGGGCATGTAGTCCATCACGATGCCCATGCCAAATGCCATCATTTCTTGGTTCGAAATGCTTGTTCCCTGGGTACGGTTCTTGCCCGCCTTTCATTGGTTCGGTCATGTTGACCTTGGTTGTTGTTGCTGCGCCTGTCTCCCGTCTGTTTGGTACCATTAAGCCAGTGTGCCCCTTCCGGCATCATGTCAATCGTGCGACCCTTCATCGGCGCGCGTTGGGTCAATATGCACGCAACACGATGGTTTGGGCAGGAGAGACCGGTACGGCGGGTCCTTGGCGACAGAAGCATCGGATGCTTCCCTAGGTAATGGAGCCGAGATCTTGAAACTGAAGGAGAGACACGGGATTACGGAATCGCTACAGCAAATTCGCCAGCTGCGATGGGGTCTGATGATCGATTGTGACTCCCAGTGCAGTGTTCCGTTGTGTGGCACTGAAGTGGAAGCTACATGCATTCGATTTACGACCGGAGATTACCGGATCTCGGCGGCGTGGTCATTTTCCTTTCGTTACTTCCGCTTTTGAATTGGCGAAGGAAATTAGGTCGAGTTCTGGAAGAGCCTATGTTGGTGGGCGAAGAGAGGGCAAAAAGAGTGCTAGCTCATGTCATCCTCACAATTTGGGCCGAGCTTCTCTCTTCACTTCTTCGCTGGGTCCATTTCTGCCATCGACGGTCACCGCATCGGGCTGACCCTGCAAGTCGAGACATTCAAAACCTGGATGCAGCCAAAAGCGAGCCCCGTCTGCTCTTCACGCCATCAGTCATGTGCAAGTGGAAGTCACCTTGGAGGTACTCTGTACTGCTTCGGTTGTCTGTCAGCATTGAAATCGTGGTTTGGGAATGCAGGGTTAAAGGTGTCCGACAACCATCAATATGCGTCTTCAACGGCTGCCAAATGCATCTGGCAGACATTCAACCCTGCGTCTTCTGCACGTCACCAAACCCTAATCTCGAGAGAAAAAGCATCACATGTCCTAGTACATGGGAGGGCAGCCCTCCTGCATTTCCTCACTGCCAACTCGGCACCCGTTGTTACCATGGTACACATTCGGACGGTTCGTCAGGGTTTCTCTCTACGACATGGTCTTTGAGCGAGAGCTAACAGACTTGTCTAGGTATATACCTATCTGGCTCCATGGGCGGGTCAAAGTACCCGACAGACTTCCCCGTTAACACCAGATTCAGATCATGGCTTTCACTCGGAGGCGGGCTTCCAGTTGCCAAGTGTGTTGATGCCTTCACAAGCTGGCAGGTTGGGCCTACGCCCCCTTTTGTGCTGGGCGATGTATGCTGCGAGGCACTGCAATGCCAATGCCAGAGTGGCAAGATGGACACGATGGTCACATGGTCATCATTGATAGTTTCCCGCTCCTCCGTACCGGCGAATTGTCGTAGAACGGCCAACAGATTTCCTCTTGTCTCGCCCCCAATCGACGACGAACACCAGCAAACTTCGGATTCTTCATTTCACATCAATTGCTTCCCCGGTGACCCGACATTGGAGTGACTGTGAGACTACTTCCTCGTTCACAGCCGACAAGCCCAAGGATCCTCGACATATTGTTCTGCTCACAAGCCCCTTACGCTCGCGATGCCGACTTCCCCCTCTCCCTTCAAAGCTCCGACGTTCTAGACTTCGGCGACTCTAGGAACCACTCCAGTTGCCGATTACCAGCATCATTGACCTTCGCTGTACCGTTGACCGGCTGGGGTGACTATATGGGCGTCAGCTGCCAATATCTACCATACCTTGAACCGGTAATGTCGCCTCGATTCTCGAAGCTCTTTGTCCTAACGACCTACGGCGTCTTTCAGTCATATCGAATCTCATATTACCAAGGCGTTTCATTCTGGACGATTCCGCCACTACCCGACACACTCCGCTTGCAATAGATCAAGCAATGGAGCAGGACGCTGCGCTGGTCCACGGTGATTTTGTCGGAGGCAAAATCATGTGGTTACCGCATAAATCGACGATCCTGTTCGAGTACAGGCCGAACCTACCGGACGATTTATTCAATCATCCGGTCGTCATCACATCCGAGGAGCTGACGAATACAGTCTCCGTGCTGATGGTGGGATGAAAATACCATTTCCCCTATTTCCTAGTCATCGCATTGCTAACCGATATGATGTCAACCAGATGACTACCTTCGACGGAGTGGGCATTGAAACTAGATTTGCTCCCGACTCTATTGAAATTCTGGTCTACGCGCCGGTCCATCCCGCTCCTCAACATCCCAACAGCGCGGGAATTGGAGGGCCCTTGCAGCTCGTCTTTAATGGCAACGAGAAGACTTTCAACAAGGCAACTTGGGTAAATATGAGAACAGAATACCGGATCCCTTACCTATGTCTTGACCTCTGGCAGTCATGGAAGGGAAATAAAAACGAGACCCTCACCCTAGACATAGAGTCATATGAAAGCCTGATGCGGTACCGTCAAGAATTTGTACTACGCCATTGGGTGCCGTTACTGGACCAGAAAGAAAAGGAGAAAAAGGAGGAGATAAGAAGACAGGAGGCGGCAAACAAGGAGAGGAGAGAGAAAGACTGGCGACCCAAGCAGTCCAAATCTCTGGACAGAATGCTGCGTGATCATCCGATTAGACCGCGATCATTCGATCAACAGTCCAGGCCCACAACGTTGATGGAGAAGACGACATGGTGGAACCCAGAGTATCAACCTTCGCAACGGTCTGTGGCTCAAACTGCGGAATGGAATGTCCAAGGAAGCTCCAGGGCTGCTTCTCGCAGTTGTGACGATCCTCCGAAGTCGAAGTCTATGAGTTCGGTAATGATTCCTGGTCCTGAGTCCCATACACACAAGGTGGACGCAGAATGGGATCAGGAGCCGGAGGCCACACAATGGGAACCACCGCGAGCATCCAACAGGCAGCCTCTCCAGGAGCTTGGGACCGAAAGTACGAAAAATACTTCCCGAAATTACGCAAGCGTCGCTCACACGCGCTTTTCCTATGCCGCCGCTCCAGAGTTGCCAGCATCCACAATTCCAGCAACGACCCCTCTCCGAAAGTGGCTTGTTCTGGCGCCGAAATCCAGAGCTCCTCGTGAGAGCTAAAATTACCGTTTGTCTGGGAGGTGGTGATGTGCACCAGACGAGCCATCATCGGAGTCACAATTTGGCTGCGGATCTACCATTGGCCTGGAATTGCGATACTTACCCATACTCCTCCAGGACAAATTAACGCGTACTCCAGAGCCCGATATGACGGACAAATCGACAGGACCCCGAAGAGTCTGTCAAGTTGTAAACGGCTTTTGGGACCTAGGAATGGCCTTGAGGACGAATGTGAAGAAGAAAAGTAATGAGACAAATGGAAACCGTCTTAGTGCTTTTCAGACGATGTCGTAGTCTCGGTGATCAAGCACCGTTAATTTGTCCTGGACGAGCCATAGTATGGCAATGCGCAGGACTTGAGTGAGAAGCTGCTGGAGTTGATGGCTCACGGACAAGAGGTAACCGATCACCCATGGGCACATTGGTTTTACCCTGGAGTCATTTTGCCTTTCGGCGCTCTTCACTTCATCCTTCTCATGCCAATCTCCCACTCAATTGTTGGCCCAAATAATCGACCGGTCTGCCTCACAGCCCTGGCGGCTATGCCAGATGCCAAGGAAAACCCATCGTGCCAACCGTTTTTGCGACCATGCTCCCAATTGGATCTACGAGGGTTCATATGCATGCATGTGTTTGAACGGGCCGGTGCGACGGGCCACCACGGTGACACACATCATCAGCAAGCCACGTCCCCCCACACGAATGGCAGCCAGTCAGCCAACGGGTCTGAGGAGGGACACAAACGGATGGAATCATAACTACAAGCCATCTGCTGTGATGCGATGGTTGTTCGTTCGCGCCCGAATATGTTCGCTCCCACAACGACTCGAGTTGCGGATTCCGATTCCCCGTTCACTTCGACAGCTTCGCATGCGATTGAGAAGTCAATCGGTAGCAATTATTGCCCAAGATGCCGTCCTCCCACCGTCTCGGCAAAAAAGAGCGACGATCTCGGTTCAACCAAACTACCGTGACGAAGCCTCCGGATCTCGGCGGTCGTATTATGTGGCTGCCCAAACTCAACCAGCTGAGCACTTCGAGCGGACTTCCGGACATGTGCCATGATCACCCAGTCATTGTCTTATCCCCAAGGCCGCTGCCTAATGACGAGGTCGTTATCCTGATGGTTAGTCCCACACTCTGTGACCCCAAACCCCCCACCCTCCCTCTGCTCCCTTTCCTGGACTAACCCAGGCATCACAGATTACCTCCTTTGGCGGAAAAGACCTCCTAAGACGGCACCGGCACGACTACGAAAGACCGAAAAGGGCCAACTACCTTCCCATTGACCCATCGCCTGTTCATCCCGACGACCCAGATAAGAATGTCGTGCTAAAACTTGGTGGCGGTGCAGTTTTAAGGAAGAACTCGTGGGTGAATACTGCGACACAGCACCGGGTCGCCATTTCCCTGTTGAGAAACTATGACTGGTGGAAGACTGAGAAGAAATTCGTGCTTACGCCGGAGTCCTACAAGGTGTTGACAAACTTCGTCAGGTTTCGGGCTCCTGATGATGTTGTCGCTGGGTCGTCTGGGACACCGGAACCGGAACCCGGACCGGCCGTGGCACAGAGAGCCACGCCCCCGTTGACCCCTCAAATCAGACCGGTAGTCGTCCCTGAGCCAGCCCCGGAACCGGTGACTCGGTCACCGGATGTTCTTGAGCCAGCAACGGCAAACGACTCGGACTCGGACACCACTATCGTCGCAGAGAACTACTGGGAGGCGGAGATGAGACGTCTACGGGATCAAACCTTGAGCCAGCGGTTCACCATCATCAGAGAGGACAACGACTCGAATCCATCCGTCTTCATGGGGGCTCACCGGGCCTCGTACACCACGTCTGCTTCCGAACAAAACCGGCAGCAACCTCCCCGTCCTGTATTACAGTTGCAGGACAACGAACAATCATCTCTCCTCCGTCCACAGACTCAATCGACCGCACCCAGCCCGCGAACAAAACCGCAAGCACTGATTCCAGCAACAAGAACAGGATATGGAACCATATCATCGTCATCCCGCCCTTCACAAGTCCGTACCGATAGAGCACAAGAACTCTCCTGTTCCCAATTACGGGATCTGCTCACAGCCGCAGCAACGGCCCGTGTCCAGGCCTGCGCCCGAGCCGCTGCCGAGCTCCCTAAACTCGAACGAGAGAGACCATGGCATACGTGGTTCTCCCGGCTAGGCTTGCCGTTCCGATTTGACTTCGTCTTCTTTGGTACTTCGTCTACGCATGCGCAGGCTCGCGCTCGCGCTTATGCTCAAAATATTTCCGTTGCTCGTGATCAGGCTGGCTTGGGTCCAGGTCCAGACACTGAAAGAGTGGTTGAAGGAAGGCTCATGTATACCGGTCTTACGAGGGCTCAAAGACGTGAGTTGGAGGCCGAAGGAAATGCTGGGCCGGCGTATGAATATGCCCGTATCGCTCCTTCGGAGGGACATGGCAAGGGAAAAGGGAGGTTGTCGATGCTTGCGAAGGGCGTTCTTGTATTTGTGATATTGTTGATCCAGGCGACCTTGTTGGCGGCGGTGTTATGGAGTGTGGTGCGCTTTGGGGTCGATAAGGCGGTTATCGAATGGGTTGCGAAGGCGGCTGGTAAGGTGGTCGGGGCTTGGGAAGCTTTCGTTTATGGATTTTGGGTGGTTGTTGACTTTGTTGTGCAACTTGTTATTGGTCTACTGTACTTGGCTTTCATCATTGCCTGCTTGGGTTTTTGCATGGGTGGATGAGTGTGATATGTGTCTGTCTGCTAGGGGTGGGCGAGAAGGGACGGCGGTTTCGGTCTGGTTTGTCTTCATGTTGGGGAAGGTAGCTCCGGTTGTCAGTGTGGAAGGCGATGATGGCCGCACTTCTGGTACTATTCTTGGCTTTCATGGCGCTACAGTAGGGAGGCACTTTTGATTTGGTTACTTTACAAAGGTTGTATTGTATTTTATCACCTGTCTCGTCCACTGGTTGCTTTTAGTCTTTTTCTTTCTTCTAAAGTCGTTTATGTCTTGTTCATCGGTAGAGGTAAACACCCGGTTTGTTCGTGACTAACATTCCACCCCATTTCTTCTCCCCCAACAACCTCCGCGCAATATCGACCTCAAGGTTTGTATCGTCTCGTCGCCACCCCTGCCGTGCTATCTCATATTTACACTTTTCGTTCCATTCTAACTAACCCCAAGCAGATCGCCAACCAACCGGGCACTCTCGCCAGATCGTCACGGATCCAATTCCTGTCCCAAGGCCTACGTCAAACAATAGATGTCTCATAGGAGACGCAGAAACTTCACTGCCTTCTCAGTTCTCACAGTCGAAGCCGTGCTCTTGGGGTTCGCCATATTCTTGCCAGTGGATCTGGAAGCATCATCTTGCGCTTGAGCCGAGTGACCAGCATCTCCATGCCCGCCCGCCTTGGCGCCGTCTGGTGTAGAGGCCGCAAAGCCCGATGCTTGTTGACTGGCACTCTCCTTCTCGCTGGGAGTCCCGGGTGGAGGACATAGATGTGTCTCGTTTTCGATGGAGGACGAATGTTTGTTGGCTTCCATGATGGCCGGCTTTCCTTCGTTGGCTTGTGATGAGTGATGTTGCAAGTGCTTGCTTTCGAGGGTCCAAGGGATCTGATGTGATCTTGCTTGTGGCGCGTGGGCTGTATGTGAGGTGTGGGAAGCTTGTGGAAACATGGATGGCACTGGAACGAACAAGGGGGGACAAGATGCTTCTTATACGTCCCGCCCTCAAATGAGAAGCAGTCGTGTTCTCGTTGGTGGCTGTCAGTCAGTCATTGTAGTTCAGTGGCGACCTTAGTGAGGTTCGTTTGAAGTGACAGGAGCGTTCGTTTGCATTGTCGGAAGCTGCCCCTATCTTGTTTGATGTCTTCCGTCGTGGTGTGTCACTATCTCAGGCAGTCCTGCCGTTCGACAGCCGGGCCGATGGTGGCTGGTTTTTTGTCATTGCTCCGTTTCATAATCCGTCCTATTGTTAGGATACCTAACTACCTAAGGGAAGAGATGCTCGAAAGCAGGAGGGACAGTCTCCCTCATAATACGTGTACATCAAACCACACCATCCGTTAGACCCCAGTCCCAGTTGCCCCAGGACTATTTCCACATATGAGGCACATGTGGTGATGTCCGCGCCGGAGACATTCCGGTTTCTCCTTTATAGCCCGAGCCATCTTAACGCGACAAGAACACCCAACATTATCTCCAGTCGTCGCGCCGAGGCAGAAACAACCCATCTAAGGGAGAACTGTCGCCTGGCTTACTGAGCACATAGTCCCAGCAACCCATAAGGAACAACATTCCAGCCAACACTTGCACCAATACGTGAAGTTTCCCCTTTAACCATAAGCCATACACCAACCCGATGCCCCCATACTGGTTCGGATGCCGCCAACAATGCTTCAGCACCGCCGACATGCCCCTCGCCATGGCCACTGCTACCCCCATCAACCCTCTACCCACCACCTTCAAGCCTTCGCTACCTGCCACGGCCTCAGTGAACAACTCTCCACCAAGCTGGCTGTGCCAGAACTTCCAGCCAAGAATGCCAACGACCGCAGAGGTTGGAACCCACTTGATGGCCAAGCGGGTGCGACGTGGTAGGTCCGTCCACCATAGACGTGCTTCTTTGTAGACCTCGCGTCTATATCTATCGCCTGGATCTTCGCGGGCGGCTTTGTCTTTAGCATCATCGCGAGCACCGCGAGAGGCATCTTTGCCTGTGCCTTGGCTTGTGGCCGTGGCAGAGCGGTTGCGCCAGTCATCACTTGCGCGGGCGGAAGATGAAGCGTTGAGGCGAGATCGTCTCTCTAAGTCCTCCATGCGTATGCGCTTCGCTTCTTCGAGTGTCATGTAGTGGAAGGTTTTGGGTGGGGGGTCGTCGTTGATGGGCGGTGGAGCTGGAGCTGAAGTTGGAGCTGGAGCTGGAGTTGAGGGGGTTGGAGTTGGAGGCTGCGGAATGAAGCGGTAAGGTTCATGTTGCGGGTTGCGGGAGCCAAATGGTTCAGGATCCATTGGATGGTCTTGGGTCTGGTCCTGAGCTTCATCGTTAGAGGCATCTTTACCTTCACCTGTGTTTTTTGCCGTAGCAGAACCGTCGCGGCCATCATCCATGTCACTCTTGCGGGCAGCAAGCGAATCGTTGAGGCGAGATATCTTCGCGATCTCCTCCATGATGGCCACAACCATGCGTGCGCGCCACAACATCTCTTGTTCGTACGTTCGCTCAGATGCTTGACGGGAAAGCACCGGGTTGAGGCGAATTTGCGTGTCTAATGCCTGCAGAATCAAGTCGATGCGCCTCTCTTGTTCGGGCGTTAGGTCGTCTGGAACATCATCATCAGCAGACGGTTGTGACGGTGCTGGAGTTTGGGGGGCTGGAGGCAATGGTGCTGGAGTCGAGGGAGTTGGAGGTGGAGGTGATGGTTCTGGAGTCGAGGTAGTTCCAAGCGGCGGTGCTAGAGTTGAGGGACCTGAAGATAGTGGTGCTGGAGATGGGGGAGTTGGCGGCCGTGGAATGAAGTGGTAAGGTCGCGGTTCTCGGAGCCCGAAAGGTTGAGAGTCCATTGGACGGGCTTGGGTGTTATCCTCGTCCTCAGAGGGAGGCTCTGTGCTCATGTTGTCCGCCTTTATGTCCTTGAGCTGCTCCGTGGTGTCCTCGAGCTGCTCTACGGATTCCTGCTTGTCCACTTCCGCTTCCGGGTCCGCGGGAGTGTGAAGAAGTTGAACAGCTGAGAACCCAGCAAAGGCAGCCAACTTGTGGTACGAGTCGTTCTCCAGGTAAAATCTCGGGTAAATCTTGTGGATCGAATCGTAATGGAGGTATTCCGCAAGTTCGGAGAATAGAACGGTTCTTCTAGAATTGGACGAGCCGTTCACGTACGAAGGCGTTTTCGGCGAGTAAGGTAACATCTTGAGCATCATGTTCCTCTCCGGCATGTCAGGGTGAGAAGGTGTAGGCTCGATGGGAAGATATTTAGCCCTCTGCTTCATTCCTTTGCGGGAGGCCTTGAATCTTTTGGTGAGGTCTTGGTTACCCAAGGATGTCATCTTGATGAATATAAGCTCAAATTAGTACCATGCTACCAGATACTGACGTGAGGAACACGAGGGGGAGATCTTCACTGATGATTGGACTGGAACCTACCCCTACTATCTCGACCTTGTTGGTGGCAGAGATGGCCGGTGATAATATGACCACCGGGTGCTTGAGAGACACGTAGTCGCGTGGAACGCCTTTCGCGTCGCCGGGTAGCCACATGATGAGTCCAGCGAGACCTTGTGACTTTCGATCCTTTGCAAACTCGATCGCGTTCCCATTATGGACGAGCTTCTTCTTTGTATTTGGCTCATGGCCCTCTTGTGCGGGACGAGGGATCACCGGCTCGGTCGACATGGTGACTGTTGACTCGGATCGTGATGCCGGTGCGGCTTGTGGGCCAAGGGATGCAGTGGGATACACAATCCCACGGGATCGCAGTCCAGTATTTCCACGTCACTTGGCGGAGGGCGAGATTGGCATCGACCACTCCTTCGGCAGCAAGAGAAAAGAGCTCGGCGTCCGGGAGCGAGGCGTAGGCGTAGGCGGAGGGGAAGGGCACACCGCCTCTGGGACGACCTCTTCGGCGAGATTGAGACGCGAAAATGGAAGCTTTCGAGAAAGTGTTCCTATGGTATGAGCTAGAGTTAAAGCATTGAAGGAAGGTTTTTCGTAAGGGAAAGCACGGGAATTTGCAGATTCGGATATGCGACGGGGTTGTGGGAGGTTAGTTCCTGTGAAGGCTGTGCTCCGTTTGTTGAGGTCTTCCAGTCGACTCCTCATTGGTGCTGCAGCCAGCCTCGTGGTAGGCCGGCGGTTGGCCTCACGGTAGGCCGCCGGCCGAATCTATCAATCCTAATGCGGGGTAGTTGAGTGCCTGTTGGCATGGATACCTACTTGGCGGCAGATCTGCTGTCGTGTATTTCATGGACTGGATGTACAATTTTTGGTTTCCATGTTTGTTAGTCTGGGTTTTCCATCATGGGCCAATCAGGCGAGCTTTGAAGCTCTCATGGGCCTTTTGAAAGAGAGACTATCCTCTGTTTGAAGCGTTATGGGATAATGATAAGAGTTTAAAGACGCCAGGGACGTTCTTCTACGTCTCCTTCAAGGCCTTTGAGACTGGAAGATATCAGTCTACGGCGCCGCTCACCCGATAGAAAGCCGGACACTTTCCTACATTCAGTTAAGCTTGGCTTTTCATATCAAACTGACGAACAAACGAAGGCCAGATTGCATCCTCTCTATCTCTGACGGGACGTAGCAAGGTTCTGCACTTACCAGTGTCAACAGAATATGGTGAAGGGAAAATCTGTTGAAGTGACTGGAGCATTCCGTCCGCTTATACCTCTATTGTTTGAACCTGCCCCTATGTTCCATTTTTCGTGTTCCGCCATTATGAACAATCGAAGAAAGAACCCCCGAGTAAAAACACAATTATCTGATACATTGAAGGATGCCATAGGCTAGATTCCACTGCCAGCTCTCCTGGAACCATGTGTGAGTGTCTCCAGTCTTCAAAGCCCACGCTTACAATAATAACAGTCACAATCTTTTCCCTTCCAATACCAATCCAGGAACAAGTCCCAAAAAATACCACGAACAAGACGTGGAAGCCAAGGGAAACTTGCCAAAGTTCCATACGCTGTCAAATGCCGTTTCATATGACCGTCCACCGCCTTCAGTCCTGTCCAAACAGCGGTCGCAACGCCCATATGTCCTTCAGCATAGGAATCCATTGCCGCGAATACCTCTCTGCCAACCCGGCCACGCCAAAACCTCCATCCAACAAAGCCGATAATTGCGGACCTCGAGACCAGCCACAGCACCATGCGAGCGGGATTTGATAGTCCTAAATTCTGGCGTTCTTTGTACAGTATTCTGCGGCAGTTGTTGTGTGGATCCTCGCCTGGATCCTTGAGGCGATCCTCCTCCATCTGCTTGTACATACGCACACGCATCTCTTCCTCCCATGTTAGGTAGTGCGAGGCTTGAAGTGGGACATTGTGGTCTTGAGGTGATGGAGTGGAGTGCTCCGAGGGAGAGCTGGGAGGCTCTGTGGTGTCCATGGCCTGGAGGAGGAGCCGAGCGGGTTTAATGCTGTGCGAGTGATTGATGTTAAGTTCTTCAATATTTGTGCTGGAGTCGTGAGGTGGGATGGATGTTGAGGAAAGGCTGTGATTGTCAGAGGGGTATATCCAGGATATTGATGAGAAAGAGGGCCTGTTGTGTTGGGTTCCAGAAACAACTTTGCTCTGAGCTGTCACGTATCAGATTGGTCAGGTATGCAGGCGTTTCTGCTTGCCTTATTGGTGACGGTAGGCCTCTGGCAGACTCAGTGATATCCTGGTGCGGGGTAGCTGAGTGTTTTACTTCTGTCAAGTCTGCGTAGTGAAGGGGATATCGTGTCTGATGTATCCGGTTTTGACTCATGTGTTTCCAGTCTCCAGTTTGATTGATGCCAGTAAGGTTCGGAACATCCAGTGTCAAGTGTTGACCGGATGTCAAGGGCGTATGGTGAAGGCAAGCAGAATCTGTCAAAGCGGTCGGTGGAGGAAGGTACAAGGCAGGGGAGGTTGAGTAGGGGACATGTTGAGGGGAGGAAGAGGATGCAGCAGAACAGTAGCAGGGTCGGGAACACTTGATATATGCCCAGGTACGACCCAGCCTTAGCTCGGTTGTCAACATGTTCGTGAATTCCATGGTACAAAAGCCCAATTCACCGGTGGATGGAGGAACAGGCCCGGGATACCTCTTCTCCCGTCTTCAAGTTTCTTGAAGGGCCTTGAAGAATAGAGCAAGAAAACGGAGAAAGGCTGGAGATGCTTCTGTAGCGTTCTAAATTCTTCTTCCTACCCCATTCCGCTGCACACAAAGAGCACCTAGCTCTTCTTTGATGCCCAAAATCCGTACCATTTGCACCTATGAACCGGCCAGGCAGCGCCTACACCTTACTCTGCACTCACATCCCGCTGCAGAAATTCTTGCGAGGAAACCTCGACATGACGCCAGAAGAGCGCATTGAGTACGCTAACGAGAAGGCAGAACGCAAAAAGGCATCCGATAAAGGTTGCTTTGGATTCTTTATGACCTTGCTGGACGAATCCAGCGATTGGGTTCCGATTGCGGCGTCGGAATGGAGTATGTCGGAGCCGTAAATGTCCTGCGCCGCGAACTGGCAGAGCCGGATCAGGGTCATGTTGATCGCAATTTTCTTATCCTGTTTCTCCACGACATGGGGGTTCATCTCGTCCAGCTCGTAGTCTGATGGATTGAGTGTGACATCCTTCCATAAGGTAATAGTGAAACTGGCGACGGGACCTTTTTTGACCCCGTGTTCGAGGTGTACGGTGTAGATGCGTATTGGTGGGATGTTCGCCGAAGGATATGTTATTGTGCTGTTCGGCGGCCTTAACGGGGTTGTTATGCCCCGGTTGACGATTAAGACTTGTGTCTGTAGTATGACTTTGGTCGTGAGGTCACTGGTAGCCTTCGCCGAGTCGCCGAAGCCGATGGTCCCCTGGACCCGTGGGTAGAGGTACCACCAATTGAAATGCCAACGTTCCTCGATCTCCCGAAGGGCTTGTTGGATCTCAGCCAATGTGTCTGGCAAAGAAGCAGGCCCGACTGAAGTATCGTTCTGGCCACTCGTCCCACTTTGTGAAAAATGAGACTGAACCTTCACACCAGAGGAGACGAAACCAACAGCTCGAGACCGCAGCAAGCAGCAACCAACAATTCTGAAAAGGAAGACTCACAACTCTGAAGTCAACAGTCCCAAGATGGCTCCGACAGCCAAGGGGAAGAGTGCGCCGGATGAAAAGACTCAGCAATCATCAAAGTGGGTATCGACGGTTCTATTTTTTTGTTGTTGTTGTTGTT